GAGAGACCATCGGCGGGACAGAGGGCCTAGATATGGGATTGTCTTGGCAAATCCAGCGAGTATAAAATGCTTCATGGGACACAGACAGCAATCTAATGTAAAATTGTATACTTGCCTATCGGTAATTTTTCTGACGCCAATACATGGCAGCATACGAATGGGCTGGGGGGGCGGAGCCATACCCATTTGTATGCTGCCATGTTTGGTGTCAGGAAATTATATATATATATATATACACATTCCATTAAAAAATAAAAACATATACATAATTAATAAATATTGTATACATCCAAAACTAGACGTCATATACACGCGAGGGGGATTTATCAAAACTGGAGCAGATTTGCACTGCAGCCAATCAGCATCTCTCTCTCTCTCATTTTCAAATCTCACCTGATCAAACCGTAGAGAGATGCCGATTGGTTGCCGTGGGCAACTGCTCCAAAATCTGTCTACTCCAGTTTTGATAAATTCCCCTCACTGTATGTAGGGGAATTTGGCTTTATTTACACTTTAATAAAATGTTGACTCCCCAGCGGAGTGATGGGAGGGATTCTTTGCAGTGAGAGCGGTGCAGCCCGTACAATGCGGTTAATGAAGTTAGCAAAAACAAAATAAGGTTCACGCTAAACGCAAATCTTCCCGCACGTGTTGCGTTAATTTCCGGCAATCTGATGGAATAAAAAAAAAAAAAGCTGAAGACGTCCTCCGGCCTATTTTTATTCTTAAATCTAATGTTGGGTGTAGGCGGGGGAGGAGCCTGTATATAGAATGATACTCACCTCCACCGCTCAGACTTCAATACTACAGACACCAATCTCTGGCTCTGATCACTGCACCTCCCCCCCGCCCCACACACTATCCCAATTTGGGCACCGGTCAGAATAAATGAGGAGGAGGGGCTTATATCACATACAGAAGTCATGGTACGAGGGCGGCCGTATTCCACCTACCTCGGAGTTCCCCGGCAGCTCAGAATCTGCGTTGGAGCTGAATTCAATCAGCGGCCCGTTCGTCTCTTCGCCTGGAAAGAAGCAGAAATGAGATTTATTATTACAGTTGCGTATCATTTCCAGACGCAGCCTCCCGATTGGTCGCACCGCCACACGCCAAGTTCACGGCAAAGACTCCCAGATACGTGTACGGTATCAGAACATTCCGCCGGCATTGCGGAGGGTCTCCAGCCCATCCCCCCTTCAATCCCTGACCCTTTATTATTATTATTATTAGACAAATAACTCCCATAATTCCCAACATTATGAGCCCGGATCCCTGTTCACCATACCCATTGTATTATGTACCCACATCACACCCACCTTTCTAGGCTGCCCCTGCCATGCACCCGCCTCTGAATAACGGGAGACCGCCCATGAAACCTACTCTATAGGCTGGTCCCACCCACAGACCCACCTTAGAATATCTGAGGACCAGCCCATCATGCTGACTTTATGGGCTGCCCAGCTACACCCCTGTCTCTAAATTAGTAGGGGCCGCCTACTACACCCACTTTATGGGCTGCCCGGCGACACCCGTCTCTAAATTAGTAGGGGCCGCCTACTACACCCACTTTATGGGCTGCCCAGCTACACCCCTGTCTCTAAATTAGTAGGGGCCGCCTACTACACCCACTTTATGGGCTGCCCAGCTACACCCCTGTCTCTAAATTAGTAGGGGCCGCCTACTACACCCACTTTATGGGCTGCCCAGCTACACCCCTGTCTCTAAATTAGTAGGGGCCGCCTACTACACCCACTTTATGGGCTGCCCAGCTACACCCCTGTCTCTAAATTAGTAGGGGCCGCCTACTACACCCACTTTATGGGCTGCCCAGCTACACCCCTGTCTCTAAATTAGTAGGGGCCGCCTACTACACCCACTTTATGGGCTGCCCAGCGACACCCCTGTCTCTAAATTAGTAGGGGCCGCCTACTACACCCACTTTATGGGCTGCCCAGCGACACCCCTGTCTCTAAATTAGTAGGGGCCGCCTACTACACCCACTTTATGGGCTGCCCAGCGACACCCCTGTCTCTAAATTAGTAGGGGCCGCCTACTACACCCACTTTATGGGCTGCCCAGCGACACCCCTGTCTCTAAATTAGTAGGGGCCGCCTACTACACCCACTTTATGGGCTGCCCAGCGACACCCCTGTCTCTAAATTAGTAGGGGCCGCCTACTACACCCACTTTATGGGCTGCCCAGCGACACCCCTGTCTCTAAATTAGTAGGGGCCGCCTACTACACCCACTTTATGGGCTGCCCAGCGACACCCCTGTCTCTAAATTAGTAGGGGCCGCCTACTACACCCACTTTATGGGCTGCCCAGCGACACCCCTGTCTCTAAATTAGTAGGGGCCGCCTACTACACCCACTTTATGGGCTGCCCAGCTCCACCCCTGGCTCTAAATTAGTAGGGGCCGCCTACTACCCCCACTTTATGGGCTGCCCAGATACACCCGTCTCTAAATTAGTAGGGGCCGCCTACTACACCCACTTTATGGACTGCCCAGCTCCACCCCTGTCTCTAAATTAGTAGGGGCCGCCTACTACACCCACTTTATGGGCTGCTACACCCCTGTCTCTAAATTAGTAGGGACCGCCTACTACACCCACATTATGGGCTGCCCAGCTACACCCGTCTCTAAATTAGTAGGGGCCGCCTACTACACCCACATTATGGGCTGCCCGGCGACACCCGTCTCTAAATTAGTAGGGGCCGCCTACTACACCCACTTTATGGGCTGCCCAGCTACACCCCTGTCTCTAAATTAGTAGGGGCCGCCTACTACACCCACTTTATGGGCTGCCCAGCTACACCCCTGTCTCTAAATTAGTAGGGGCCGCCTACTACACCCACTTTATGGGCTGCCCAGCTACACCCCTGTCTCTAAATTAGTAGGGGCCGCCTACTACACCCAATTTACGGGCTGCCCAGCTACACCCCTGTCTCTAAATTAGTAGGGGCTGCCAACTACACCCACTTTATGGGCTGCCCAGCGACACCCCTGTCTCTAAATTAGTAGGGGCCGCCTACTACACCCACTTTATGGGCTGCCCAGCGACACCCCTGTCTCTAAATTAGTAGGGACCGCCTACAACACCCACTTTATGGGCTGCCCAGCTACACCCGTCTCTAAATTAGTAGGGACCGCCTACTACACCCAATTTATGGGCTGCCCAGCAACACCCGTCTCTAAATTATTAGACAAATAAAACAACAATGTAACAAACAATTCACTTGCAGGATATTAATTGAAACAATGTAACAAATACAAGCCGTCAGACGTAGACTGTCATGTTACAAAACGCACATTCCTTTCCCCAAAAAGCTCATAATGCGTCTTTGGCGCGTTTCATTGCGTTAAAACGTACCGCATTGCAAGACATGTTCAATGTGCGTTGTATATCTATATAAAAGATGCGTTCTCTCTCTTTCTTTTCATGGAAATATGGACATGAAAAACGAATTGAAATGCATGTTGAGCTTTCAGTGCATTTGATACAAATGCGCACAGAAGGTTGCAGACGTGACCGGTTCTCTTTGGCAGTACTGCCAGTCCTGTTAACACGTCATGTCGCTCACACACGTCTGTGTTCCTCAGGTATTCATGAGCCTCCCCTCCCCCCGGAGCAGGCGACTCCCTATCCTTCCAGCCACGTACCTGACCAACTGATCACTAGGCCCCAGCGCTGCCATGCCCCACCTCAGAGGCATTTGATAGTGGACACCCTGATCACATGACGTAAGCCTGGCAGCGCAGATGGGAATGATGACGGATCAGCACCAATCACACAAAACGCCTGGTTGCCATGGGTTACCGAGGATCACAGTCTGTCTGGGACACAGTTAGCCCCGCCCCAAACGGACATTATTTCCGTATAGTGCTGGGGGGATTATTAGCCCCGCCCCGAACGGTGCAGGAATTGGGGGGATCTGAGGGGGGAAGGTGCAGGAATTGGGGTGATCTGAGGGGGGAAGGTGCAGGAATTGGGGTGATCTGAGGGG